ACACCCTATGAGCGGTCCGGGAAGACTGTAGGCCCACGTGGCGGTCCAGTCATGCCGAAGGCTCCGTACAGATTCAGTTGGACTGTAGGCCCTGTAGGGCGGTCCAGTCAGGCCGATGGCCCAGTATGCATGTTGATTGATTGATTATTACGGATATGGTATTATTAGTGTGGTATTGGTATTTTGAGGGTAGCTCACTAAGCCCTCGGGCTTACAGTTTTCAGTTTATTGTTTCAGGTACTTCAGAAGTTCATGGAAAGGCGAATGCGTGACCGTACCGCTCCTCATCCTTATGATCTGGCTTTTGGGACACTCTGATTGAATAATGAATTGAAAACATTTTTGTAAACAATTACTATTTGGTTTTATTTATGCTTGAAAAGTTTAAATTTGGCGTAAAATTTTGGATGTTACAAGTAGTCTAGATTTAGTGAGGTATTTAAAGTGGGCTTTCCAAACAGTACACTATGTATACCAAATGGATCCTTCCTCCGATATGATGTTACCTGGTTGTCCCTTATCAACTATAGGTCAATAGACTTTGAATTAGTGGTGAATCTAGAGTAATAATTAGTTGCAATAAATATTAGACCATGACTCAGTGATATTAATACTAGGTTACGTAGAAGGAAAAGACAGTTGCTAGAAGCGAAGCGCTATCCAATTTTTGATTCATCTCTTTAACAAGTGAGTGCATACTTACTTTCATCTTACACATAGATATGAAGTATTTAATATAAATACTATTGGGTTTTATGTATTGTAACAGTCCTATGGTGCACATACAACCCTAAAATAACCTCTTAATCAAATAATATGATTTCTCAATAAATATATTATACTTATAATATATTCATAAATAAAAAATAACCTCTTAATCAAATATCCATCCTATCAAATTGTTCTGATGAAGGCAACCCGAAATGGACCATGCTATTATCAGGTCAAGTACATACAAATTATAGTTATGGGCTTAGACACCTAATCCAACAATCTCCCATTTGGATAAGTGTAATAACCATTATTGCAAGTACGACTCGAAAATCCGATCAGCAATCGTAGCTCTTAAAAGCTGCTGTCGAACTCTAACGAGTCCATTAGACATGGGATCATATATTCCTCCATTCTAGATATCGTATGAACTGAGACATGGATTATAGTCATTCTCTCTGTTCATGTGTTGTTTCCCGATTTCCGATTTATGAAGAACGACTAATTGAACAAATCAAATCAGTCCAGGCTTCGCCAAGCGCTTAGGGTTGTCATCACCACATCATCGAGGGGCCCACAGATATCGCTTTTATCCCCTTAGGGAAAAAGGAACAGATAAACTTCGACTAATATGTTTGTTCTATTTACTCATCAAATCACACACACAATGATTAGTTTTATAACACCAAGTTGCTGGTGCATGTACCATCATCAATGTGCAACCGACTTGTAAAGTGCAACTATATGTCTCCGTTTCAAGAATATAAGATATTATCGTCTCATAATCACTCGTGATAAAATCCATGAAGTGATTAAGTGAGTGTGGGTTTAATCCAATACTCAAATCTTTTTTCAAGAGCACTCATTAATGTTTGTAGCAAACTTTTGCTATGTCTAACACCTTACGAAAACCCATTCATGACAGTCTACTTTCATAATCTACTTCCAAAGTATGATCGACTATGGATGTTTGAATAATCTTATTATTCAGGAAGTCAAAACATGCAAAGTGAAACACAAGAATAATCGAATCCAATATGGTCTCAAAACTTTCGAGTATAAATAAACCACCTTTTATTTAGTCACCATATTGATTACACATTATTCATTGTATAATGTCTCGATTAATCAACTTAATACTTTGAATTAAAACAATAGTTATCCAATGCTCCAAGCATGCACACTATGTTTATATATGGTCCTTACTTTGTCTAATAGATCAATTGAAAACATTTCCAATGAAGCTCATTTCACAATTCCAAATCTTTATCACAAGTGTAAGATTTAAACTATCATGGAATGATTTCTTTTGTAATGTCGAGGTACCAAAGTCACAGAGACTTTGCCAACGATATTACAAAACTTTCCACTGGAGATTGATAACAAAACAATTCAAAGGAAGCGAAGTCTCAGATTCAAAGTACATTCCTTTGAACATCCTTCTTGCATAAAAGCTTCCAACCTACACATAGATTCTTAATATCTAACTCCCAATATAGAAATATTTCCATATTTTCCATATGACAATGCATTAATAATAGAATTCTATATGTTCATAATAATGTCAATATGGTCCATCCATTACTATACTTCCAACTATCCTTAAGCAACCAATCCTTAGCGAACCTTAGACCGTCCTTGACAGTTGCTTAACCACTTTAGTCATATCCGGTTCTAGTCCATTTTCCCTCTTAATGCCCTAGGCATTTGGAAAATTAGAACACGTGAATATTATATCATATACAATCGAGCCTATATCTGAAACATATGAGACACAATTCATAATGTCTTACATAAAGACATCATACTTGACCAATCCCTTGCTATAATATTTCCATATAGAATTTTCAATGTTGAACCATTTCAACATGATATTCATATATACTCATAACTAATTTTGATTAATATTTTAATCTAAACTATTAGATTCGAAATAAAGTATAAGTATCCTCTCCCTTACTATAGCGAAACAATTTTCCAAAATCTGCAGCTTTGCAATTTAAAACTTTGTTTCCTATAAATAGCATTCACTACTAGAAAAACAACCTTTTACGATGCGCAATGCGTGTCGTAAAACGCTCAGACGAAACGCAAATGCATGTCAAGGAAGGCCCTATCATAACGAAATACGACACGCTTTTGCGAGTCGTCTATTTACGACGCGCATTTACGACGCGTGGTTACGACACACATTTACGACGCTCATTTACGACACGCAATGCGTGTCAAGGAAGGCCCTGTCATAAAGGAAGATGACACACATTTGCGTGTCGTAACCTTACGACGTGCGTTTAGGACACGCATTGCGTATCATTAAATCCCCTGTTATAAATGAAGATGACACACATCTGCGTGTCATAAACTTCAGCAACCATTTACGATATACATTTACGACTCGTCTTTACGATACTCATTTACGCATATTACAAACATATGGAAACAAATATATACCAAAACAATTAATTTCATCGAATAACATCATGTCAAAAAATTGTCATACATTGGTATTAAAGGATCTAATTGTACATTGTTATTAAGAGGTTTTCCCTAACTATATAACCTAATACTACATTGCTATTAAGGAACACCTTCTTGTTTCTTCTTCTTATTGTTATGCTTTTGTTCGTACATGATACTTGTTTTCATCAACACAAGCAAGTATGGTTAGTGAAACTGTATACCACTCCCATGGTGCATCCCTTCATTGCAGGATTGGCCACTTTAGTCCACTTCCCTTGAGAACATTCCACCATTAATTAGAATCAGAATAACAAAAAACTATCAGAAAAGGTAAGATGAAAAACAAAATCAAAGATATAGTTATGTCAAATTCAGAAAACAATTACCCTAGTTGCATTTGTTCTATTTGCTGTCCCACTCCAATCCACTTCCATAGCTGCATGTGCTGTCGAACTCCATCTAATTGTCATCGCACAACCGAACAAACAAACAGGACTATCAAATATATAGTTTTTTCAATTTCAGAAAAAAAAATACCCACCCGACCATTTATAGAGTCTATATCTATTCGTAGTCGTCTGATATTTTAGCAAACATGTATTACCTTTAAGGATGAAAACATTAAGGTTGGATCCATGGAAACTAGAAATCAAAATTTCTACTTATGAGCGAAATTAAAAAATAGAAATTGAAGCTTAATGATGACCTCTTACCTATTGTAGCATCCACATAATACTCCCACATCCATTTCATATAACATTTTGTACACAACTTCATTTGACCAGCATATGTCCTACACCCAAACAATTACAGCTCATTTAGCTACAGCCAATATATATTATATAAGTGTGTAAAGCAAAGGTATTAGAAATACTCATTGTAACCAGAATAGATGTAATTCTAGTTTGTAATCTTTAATGATTCGGAGGTCTTGCATTTCCATTGCGGTATTTTAGCCTCTATAACTTGGTATGCTATATCTCCAAAAATTATGAGTTGTCAATTTTAATAAACTATATATTTTTTTCCTCTTAACACAAATAAGTTCCAAATTTTTACTTTTCGGGTGGATCCACATCATCACAGCATAGTAGAAGATGATAACGTAAACCCCCAATATGTAGCCAAGCGCACCCAAGATCAAACAAGGAATCTACACAAAAAAAAATGGTTAAGTAATGGACCCTGTGGTTTGGTGTAAATAGCAGGTTTGATCCAATTTTGATTTTGTTGCATGGCTCGTCCTTGTGGTTTCATTTTATGTGCAACCTTGGTCCCTAAGTCATTAAATCATTAAATCTAACGACTTAGCTGTTAGTTTTTTAAACATGACCATTTTGCCCTTGGACCAAACTAATAAAAAAAGCACCATGGGGTCCAAATGGTGTGTTTTTTATTTGTAAATATACTTAAATATATAGATATGCATATGCATATACATATAGTAAATTACAAATTTAGACCGTATGGTGTGTTTTTTATTAGTTTGGCCCAAGGACAAAATGGTCATATTTAAAAAACCTAACAGCTGAGTAGTTAGATTTAACGATTCAATTACTCACAGACCAAGGCTTCACATAAAATGAAACCACAAGGACGAGCCATGCATCAAAAATCAAAATTGGATTCCACCAAACTACATGGTCCATTTATGTAATTTACTAAGGTAGAAAAGTTTTTGCAGTTTTTATGGATTTCAATTTTTTTCTAGACAACATATAAAGTAAATCAGTGAATTTATTTATTATATATCTATTTTGCAGGAAAATGAGGGGAGATTGTTGGAAGATAAACCTCATGTTAAGAGCATTATAAACAATGTGATGTTCATGCCATGGGACAACAATTGTTTCATTACTGGTGGAAGTGATCATGGTGTTATTCATTGGACTCAAAAACACAATAATGAAAACAACAACTCATGGAAACCCAAATTACTGCACAGAAACATCCGTTCTTCAGCTGTTATGGGAGTTGCTGGCATGCAGCAAAACCAAACAGTAGTTTCTGTTGGAGCAGATAAGAGAATTATCGGGTTTGATTTACACACTGATAAACCAGATTATAAGCACCAAATAGAAAAAAAATGCATGAGTGTTGTACCAAATCCATGTGACTTCAACCTTTTCATGGTTCAAACCGGGTAAATTGCAATTGATTCAGTTATATGGTAAAAAAGAAATAACCTCTAATTATGTGCTAATATTTTGGCATATTTTAATATACTTACTTGGAGGACCCCACAAAAGCAACTAAGATTGTTCGACATAAGGTTGAAGCATACAAAAATCCATGAATTTGGTTGGAAGCAAGAAAGTAGCATTTCTCAATCGGCTTTAATCAGTCAGGCGTGGTCCCCGGACGTGTCTTCAAAGCTGCATGGCATCACTCTTTTCCTCTCCTCATTTCCATATCCTCATATCTCAATATTGGATTGCACCATATCACATGAAACCATATGTTCTAACCTAAATACAACACAAATCAATGAATTATTATCTGTTCACCTGTAGAATTCTTGACATATAGCGCAAGAATCAATCGCTCGATAAATGGTATATTAAGGACTACAAAACATGGTGGGTTGATGATTCTGGAAGAGATATAATCACACGCATACGGTTGACTCTTGTTTTCAGATAAAAATATTTTTTACCATAAGAAAATTTACCTGAGCTGAAAAGAATATAGATTTGATCAAGGAATATTTATCAGCTTCAAAGGACTTCTCGTGGGCAAGTATTATCTGCATGAAAACAGAAAAACAAGATTAGAAATTTGGGAACTCCTAATAACAATATGAAACTTCTTACTAAAATATATACCTGCTGAAAGAGAGATCTAGCAGATGACAAAAAGAAACTATGGGAATCAGCAACATGTGGAGAACTTAGCCAAAGATTGTTAAGATTTATGGAGTCATGAACAAATTGACAAGTTCCTAAGAGTTCAAGGGCCATAAATGAAACTTGGAAATTAAAACAATTGAATTGTTGAATGGATGGTGGAATCAATTGTTTAATATTTATTGTCACTATCTCTAATGTGAACGCAACAATTGAACATTTGAATTGGACGCGAACTTTCGGTGGAATAATCAATGGACGGCTAAAGAAAAATCTATGCATTTTTCAATCTTTGCGGCAATCTTGTGCATATTGCGGCTCACAAATATACCTATATATATGCATGTATGTTTTGCATATTTTGTGTGCAAAAACTTGAGAGAACATCAAATGTAGAGTGTCAAGCCAATTGTAATCTTGTGAGTTTTAATAAAATTCTCTAGTTGCAGCCCGTGGACGTAGGATTTGCACCGAATCCGAACCACGTAAAATCCTTGTGTTCTTCTTGCTTTATTTTCGTGAGTTTGTGTGTGTGTGATAGTGTGTTTCCGCTGCGTGTACCCGGTCCGGTTCCTAACAACTGGTATCAGAGCTAGATTAGCGAGGTTTGGAGGGTATGATCGTTTTTTTTATCACGCACGAGTGTACCTGATTTGTATCTTGTTTGTCATAATGGCTGAAGACAAGGTGGTAATCGAGAAGTTCAATGGTTCTAATTTTAGCTGGTGGAAAATGCAATTAGAAGCATTACTATGTCAGAAAGACTTGGACGTGGTACTCGGAGACAAACCGGAGAAAATGGAAAAAGCTGCTGAAGATGCGTGGAACTCAAAGGACAAGAAAGCCAAGGCGGTTATTACATTGTCATTGACGAAGAGCGTTGCTTTCAACATCATGAATGAAACCACGGCGCGTGGTATGATGGAGGCTCTGTCAAATATGTATGAGAAACCATCGGCGGCCAACAAGGTGTTCTTGACGAAGGAGTTGTTCACTACAAGGATGAATGAGGAAGGCTCAGTTACGGTTCACATTAATAATCTAAATTCAATTCTGTCCAGATTATCATCTGTGGGAATTAAATTTGATAATGAGACTCAAGCTTCGCTGCTACTAGCTTCTCTACCTGATAGCTGGTCCGGAACAGTTACTGCTGTTACAAGTTCCGTGGGGACCAGTGGTATGACTTTTGAAGGGGTTAGAGATTTGGTTCTAGGCGAGGATATCAGACGCAAGAATCAAGGTGGATCTTCCTCTTCTGATTTATTAAATATCGGAAGAGGTAGAGGGAATAGCAGGAGCAGTGGGAGTCGGGGAAAAAGTTCTTCTAGAACTTTGAAGAATGTGAAATGGTGGAACTGCCAAGAGGTGGGACATGTTAAGAGTCAATGTCCAAAGAAAGAATTAAACATTGCTGGTGCTGAGAGTGTGTCTGAGGATGATGCACTGATACTCAATATGGAAAGTTCTGTGGACTCTTGGGTCATGGATTCAGGGGCTTCGTTTCACGCCATGGACAACGGGGAAACGATGGTGAATCTAAAAAAAGGAGATTTTGGAAAGGTACGGTTAGCAAATGACGAGATGCTTCAAGTAACGGGCATGGGAGATATTGATCTAGTTACTTCATTGGGAACTACATGGAGCCTGAAGAATGTCAGGGTTATTCCGGAGCTGAAGAAAAAATTGATTTCTGTTGGTCAGCTGGATAAACACGGAGTGGAAGTAAGGTTTGGTGGTGGTAAATGGATGGTAGTCAATGGTAATTCTGTGATTGCTCAAGGTATGAAGCGTGGGTCATTGTATATGGTTGAGGTACCTGCTGAGGGAAGTGTGACCATCCCGATTAAGCAAAACAAAATCTGGTTCGCTAAATCTACTGCTAAGAGAGTTCATTTTGCAAACATGAATTCTGGAGCCAAGGGGATGTTAGCTGAACGAGTCGGAAATTCTAAACCATTCAGGGGATTCTGTGACAGTGGGAGCACGGGGTGTGTTCCTGGTACAGTTACAAAGAGCCGTTGGATTTTGAAGACTAAGACTGAAAATTTCTCTCCTGTTGGATGTTTGTTATGTTTGGAGAGTGTTAGTTGTCCTCGGTGTATCTCTGGATCCGGTGGAGTGTCCAAACCAGTTGAGCCAGAGGATGAGTCGGTGGCGAGATTAGCCATGGCTGAGTTGGAGCTAGTGGGAGCTTCAACTGGCCCTTTCTAGTAATTGATGATGAGGGGCGGCTGCAACTAGAGAAATCAGACTAAGTTTTAGCTTGTTCTTTGGAACTGGAAGCTTGAAGGACTTGGTTGTTTTTTAAGATTACTGGAGTAATTGAGAGTTGGATGACGGAGAAAGACTAATTTGTTCAAGTCTCCAAGTGGGAGATTGTTAAGATTTATGGAGTCATGAACAAATTGACAAGTTCCTAAGAGTTCAAGGGCCATAAATGAAACTTGGAAATTAAAACAATTGAATTGTTGAATGGACGGTGGAATCAATTGTTTAATATTTATTGTCACTATCTCTAATGTGAACGCAACAATTGAACATTTGAATTGGACGCGAACTTTCGGTGGAATAATCAATGGATGGCTAAAGAAAAATCTACACATTTTTCAATCTTTGCGGCAATCTTGTGCATATTGTGGCTCACAAATATACCTATATATATGCATGTATGTTTTGCATATTTTGTGTGCAAAAACTTGAGAGAACATCAAATGTAGAGTGTCAAGCCAATTGTAATCTTGTGAGTTTTAATAAAATTCTCTAGTTGCAGCCCGTGGACGTAGGATTTGCACCGAATCCGAACCACGTAAAATCCTTGTGTTCTTCTTGCTTTATTTTCGTGATTTTGTGTGTGTGTGATAGTGTGTTTCCGCTGCGTGTACCCGGTCCGGTTCCTAACAAAGATTACGTGAAGCCACTCCAAGTTTCAAGCTATGTGCATTAAGATCCTTGATGACAATTGGATTCAGCAACATGTGGTTAATAGTTTAACAAGTGACAAACAGAATAAGATTCTCTATTATGCATTATGCTAGGCTGTAGTTCACACTCAATGTAGTTTTAAACATCAGGTTTAAAAAATCAAGTGTGTGAATCACTTTTGCAGCACATCAGATGTGCTTTTTCCTTGAAATTATGCTGCTAGTTGAGATGCTATAGAAAGGAAATGTGATTTGGACATAAAATAGAGAGAGAGAGAGAGAGAGAGAGAGAGAGATAAAATAGTTACTTATAGAGAACTGCAAGGGATTCCTCCCTTGATGGATTGTTATCCGAACATCAACCTGATCAACCTGTAAATTACAAAAAATAGAAACTGTATAAGGATGAATGCTAAAAGGTAATTTGATTTTGAAAAAGGCAGAGAGAGAGAGAGAGAGAGAGAGAGAGAGAGAGCAGTAGTTCCTAAGTCAAATTGGGTACAACAACAATGAGCATTTATGGAGCACACTTGAAGATTTCGTATATAATGGCATGATATGAATCTTTAAGCTCACAATTTAGGTAATCTCTGTCCAAGATACAAGATTTGAGAAAACGACAAACCACCGGTTGAAGCACCTGACTGCAACCTTCAATAACGGAAACACCAAGCTGAAAAGATGCATCCTGAAAATGTACACTGGTTACTAACTAAATAATCATCCTACCCACCAGAAATCTGAATCTTACCAACATAATGGTATATGTTACTATGTTAATGCAAATAAATAAATAACTATGACCGACATTGCTTTTACAAGAAAATAAGTTAAAGGAGGGAAGAAAATGAGGCTAATTTACAAGCACGCAAATTGTAAAACTGTCAAAATAGTAACTGAAAATCTGTATTAATATAATATTAGAACTTGACTCAAATATAGAAAAGATCAAGGAAAGACTTACAAATTACAACCATTAGGATTGCTTGCTCATTCTGTAATACTAGAATAAAGTATTTATTTGCATTATTTCCTAAACAACTATAACAACTTTATAAAACTAAAACATTACTCCTAGCAAAAGGAGCCACTCTATTGCCCCTCCATGTTCTTTTATGTGAGGGTTTCAGGGGGTATTTCAATGGCTCTTCTCATTGTATTTGGTTAAACTCTAGATGTTAACATACAATGAATTATTAAAAAATATGAGTTTAGCAATACAGATAAAATAACTAACAAGTACTCACAATGGAACTATTTTTCAATTAAAATATTGAAGATAGAGTACAAGACACCATAAATTAGATCTATAAGCTGAAGAAAAAGACTCATGGAAGGAGAGAATATCTGAGAATATAACTAAAAAAAGAAAGCCCT